GGCAGCCAGGCTGAGAACCGCTGCCCTAGAGTCTCTCCTGCCGGCTCCCTGGAGCTCCAGGCTCCACCGCCCCGGGGCCTCCTGCCAGGCTCGGCGTCAGGCCTGAGGAAACCTCCAAGGCAGGTCCCGCCTGGGCCCTTCTGAAGATGCAGACACAGACAGTGGGTCAGACCACACACCTGCACGCGCCCGGGTTTCCTCTCCGAGCCCCGTAGCCCAGAGGCAGCCCTTCTCCGGGGCCCACACTGGCCTGCCTCAGCCCACCCTGGAGGCCTCCGCCCCAAGTGGCTGCTGGCCAGTGGATAGACTCAGTGGCCTCGTTAAACCTCAGTTTCCTCCTCTGTGAAATGGGAAAATACTAGCAGGCTAACAGAGCTACTGGGGGGACCAAATGAGATAACCTTGAGTTTTATAAATCTTAAAGTGCCAGGTAGGTGTCGACTATAATGTTAATCCACATCAATTTAAAACCTGGCCGTCCTCTCCATCAATCCATCTCCCTCTCCATCCTCTGTGGACCCTGTAGCAGCCTCCTCCTGGTCTCCCTACCTCCTCACTCTAGGACATAAAGTGCCAGGAATCTCCCAACAGCCATCCAGGGCCACAGCCTCCGCATGAGTGGGGCGGCCCCAGCCCATGTGGCACGGGAGTCCCCGCGGCCCCATCACTTGCCATTTCATGCCTCAGGGTCCGCCTCCGAGCTGGTCCCTCTGCCAGGGATACCTCTCCCCACATTTACTCCACCTGGCAGGCCCCCCTCCTCCATGCAGCCAGCCTGCCTCAGAGCTGCCCGTCCTCCTGCAAGGCTCCCACGGGGACCATGCCCTCTGAGCTGGGAGCCAATGAGGATAAAAACAGGGCAAACACTGTTCTAGGCGCCCTGGGGGTTAACGAAGGGAACCCCGGCCCTTACAGCAGATGCCGTTATCCCCCCAGCTGAAAGGTGCGGAGGCTCCTGGAACCTGCCAGGGTCGCGGGGGAGGTGAAGGGAGGAACTGGCCTCAGACCCAGCTCGCTGTCCCCCGAGGATGAGTCTTTTGGGTGACTATTCACACCCTTCACCTCAGTATCTTCAGACTCAACCGCTTCCCTCAGAGGAACAGCCCACAGACGTGGTGAAGGTGAGCCCGGCAGGAGAGCGGGACCCGCTGGCCCTGGGTACATTAACTACAGGGCCGGCGGTCCACCTCCCTGGCCTCAGTTTCCCCATTTGTCAAACCAGAGGCTTGGCCGAGATCCACTGTCCAACACAGTAAACACCAGCGAAGGGCGGCTCTGTACACCGAAATTAAAATGTAACAACAGTAAAATCCAGTTCCACAATCACACCCCTGGTTTGTGGCTAGCAGGTAAGAGACATGACATCCCCACAGTTCTCTGGACAGACAGCTCCTCGCCGGATGATTAGATGGGTTCCCCAGAGCCAAGCTGGGCGCCCAGGACCCCACTGCACCCCACCTACTGCTGAGCCCCGACTCACAGATGATGCGGGCAGAGGCTGCGGGCTCTTTGGTGGCATTCTGGGCAAGTCTGTTTGACTTGCGGACGGTGCTCCTGGGTTTGTCCACCAGGGAGTACTTCTGGGCCAGAGAGTTCTGGGGACCCGGGGAGGACGGGGCGATCAGGCTGCGCCGCACTGACCGCCGGTCCACGAGGGCCCCCTTGGGGGTGGACAAGTTATCAGGCAGGATGGGCACCAGCACCCGCTCCTGCCACGGGGAGGCTGGAGAGCCGGGTGCGTCCTGCGGGCCCGGGGAGGTCCGTGCAATCCTGAGCTTGGAGGCCGACCGGCCTGCGTTGACCCCTCGGCCCTTGGGGTCCTGGGGTGTAGCCATCAGAGAGCTCACGGCGACTGACTCCAGTCTCCCGGCCTCTGGCTTCTTGGGTGTAGATTCCTCATCTGACGGAGCCGGGGACGGAGCCCGGGCGGAAACGCGCTGGCTGACGTGCTGCTCCGCTCTGTGGCGCTCGCTGACGCCGATCTCCACCCTGGGCACGATCTTGGGCTTCCTGGTCAGCGGGGTGGGAGACTCGGGGATGGGCGAAAAACCCGAGTCATCCGCCGCATGACGGTGCCGTTGTCCCCGGCCGCCAGCGGCTCCACCTTGTCCTCGCTGATCGCAGACTTCCTGTGGGACAACCTGCCGAAGCCAGCAGAGCAGAGCCTGAGAGGACCCAGCAGGGCAGGGGGCACCCAAGTTCGAGCGGGGGCACTAGTCTCCCCGCGGCCGCCAGCTCGGGGCGAATAGAGGTGAAGGGCTGGGAGGCAGAAGACAGGTTCTGGCCCAGGCTGTGGCCGTTGCCAGGAGACGCTGGGCCGCCCTCTCTGAGCCTCTGTCTCCCAGCCTGGGAAGGGGGACAGGCCGGGGCTCCCCGCACTCTGGGAAGATTACAGTCAGAGACTCTCGCTGACTGAGCTCACACCGCCCAGCACCTTGCCGCAGGCTCTGCTCACGTTATCACTTAAGTCACGGCGCTGAGAGGCAGGGCCATTCTCACTTTAGATTTGAGGAAACTGAGGCTCAGAGAGGTGGGAATTAACAAAGGGACATAGAGCTTCCTACTGGGCAGAGCTGGGGTATGTGCCCAGGACCTCCTGCCCTAAGACCCAGCCTCCTTTGCCGGTCGTCTCAGCCCACGGCCATTTCCATGGGCATCGCCACGAGCAGAGCACGGGGCTGAACAGGCCCCGCGGCCACAACTGGTGGCTCTCGCCCAGGACTGTCTTTTCCCACCTCTGGAAACGCTCCCATCCTCCAAGGCCCGGATCAGACACCCCGGCCCCAACACACGCAGACACACACGCCCCGGTCTCCGCGGTCTTGGGTCATGCTGTTTCCCTGTGATAGCTCGCCCCTCAGCACGGCCACATGGCGCACATCACCACCCCTGCAGGCCTCTGCTCCCAGGCCGCACGTGGGAATCAAACCCGCCCGTGGGCACCAAGCCTCCAGACTCCGACTGCCCAGCTGACCCCCCCGGCCCCCAGCTAGTGGCAGCCCCGGCCCCTCCTACCTTTTCCGGATGGGGTCTCTGTTTTCATCCTGAACGTGTGAAATCCGTTTCTTTTTCCGTCGGTTCTTCTGAGAAGGCGTTTTGGGCATCAGCTCGGGCTGTTGGCTGAATTCTCTGTTTGGTAAGAAGAGCGACATTTGTAGCTGCCTGGGACCCCGGTCTCCTTCCCCCCGGGGACGCAGCAGGGGAGCAGGTGGCCAGGGGAGCAGGTGCAGCGCCATCCGGAGGCCCAGCCACACCTCTCCTCCCTCTTCCCATTGCACTAGCTCAGGCCGCAGCACCCTGGGCCCTCGGGAGAGACCCCGGGCAGCCTGTCTGTCTTGCCTGTCCAGTCAGGCAACGGGCGGCGATGTCCCTTGAGCGGAAGCAGCCAGGAGCCCCTGGCGCCTCCTGCCTGGCCTGCCCGGCCCTCACCTGGTGAACATGCGCTTGGCCTCCTCCTCGATCTCCTCGAGCCACACCAAGTGCTTATTGTCCACGTTGCACACAAACTCCATGAGCTTCTGGTCACACAGCTCCAGCAGGTGGACGGGCCCGGGGGCGGTCGTCCCCATGGTGGCTCTGTCTGGTGAAAAACAAAGACAAAAGGCACAGGGCTCAGGGCTGGAGACTGGAACCTTGTCCAGGGAGAGCCTGCCAGGCCAAGCCCACAGCCCGCAGCCCCCAGTCACCACAAAACACCAAGTGCCTGAACCAGAGCTGAATTCCAAACGCCAACCAAGTTGCCTCCTTTTTGCAAAAAAGAAGGACCCGTCCTCCTCATGCTCTTCAAGCACCTTCCCTCTGCCCACCCACCGCACACCGCCCACCCCACCGCACACCGCCCACCCACCGCACACCACCCACCGCACACCACC